ACACCTCCCCCTCCGCAGAAATCGGCACCCCCAAAATTAAACTGTGTGGATTAAGCAGGGAAGCTGATTGTCTACTGGGATGCCCCCTGCTTTGATTCCTGCTCCACAGAGAAGGAGCTGTTGTATTACTATTCAGTCAGCTGAGGGAGTCAATTGACTTAACAACTCATTGGTCTTTACTCCAGGAGATGTTAACAATCTTGATATTACACTAATCAAGCTAACATTTTTTAGGGCAAGTTTCCTCTCTGGTAGTTGCTACTGGTCCCTCTCCTCTTCTTGCACAGCTTTGGAGAGACTCATTTCAAAAGCACATTTGTCTCCCTAGCAGTTGCCAAAGATGGATCAGTAACAAATGGTTTCAGCTTTAATTAAAGCAGAAAAAGGAGAGCGAGTCAACTGAAAATTAGGCTCTATCCCTGCTCCATACTGCTATAACTCAAGGGGGAAAAAAAAAAAAAAAAAAATCTTCATTTTGCCTTTCAGAAACAATGTGCATATGATATTCTGGGGTATGTAACCTATGAGAAAATATGGTATTTGGGCCTCTCCATAATGTTGAAATCCATCCTTAAAGCTGGAATCAACTTTAGCCTACATTTGTAAAATTAGCAGGCAAACTCCAATCCCTATTGTTGAAGAATATACTCAAATCTACCCCAAACCAATAAAAGTTAAAGGTGGAAAGCATACATTTGTGCAAGTTTTTTACTTCATCATATTGATTAAAACACCATCAGTACATCTAAACCTTCATACAGCTTTCCATCTCTAACAGGCCCCTAAAAAGCAGTACATGCTCCAGCTTCAAACACCTGTACAGTAGGCTCAAATTATTTTATATGCTACTTAGAGAGACAACCAGCTGTGCTGTTAATACATTCCATGCATTGGGAGCTTATCTGTCATTAACACTGAGGTATTGCCAGCCTTGGCCATTTACAAGTGACCAAAGCTAAGCTGCAAAAGTGTACGTAAGCAGGAGGCCCAAAGCTTGTTGAGTGACTGTAAAGTGAACCTATGAAATGTGACAACTAGCTGGGTCAGTAGTGAGATATAATTAAACAAACAGAGCCTAAAAGGAGACATCATAAGGAAAGATCATAAATTATGTAACAAGCAGCCCCTTCTTGCCTGCACACCCCCATTTTGTACATTTCTTTTTCCTTCTGAGTACTAGTAGAGACCTAGACCTAGCACACTCATTGCATGGGGGTGGCAAGGCTCAGAGCAAACCAGAAAGCTGAAGTGGCTTTCTGTAGGAGAAAGCTACAAACTACATCTACATATCAATTGAGTTAAGTGTCACTACAGAAAACAAAAGAACTAAAATATCCATTTCAAAGCAAAGCCTGTGAGAACCCAGACAAGCCAAGGTGTATTGAAAACATGACTGTAAATATATCCTGGTAAACACATTCCCCTTTTGAGTAAAACCTATTTCCCAAAGAAAACTTCCCATATCTGTCTAAAGTTTATGCTAAATCAGTCTACTGCATCTAACCTAACTCCTTTACTGTCCCCAGTGTTTGATCCTCACTACCTCACATTTACATTTATTGATTAAAGTATATTTCTTTTTATATTTCATCCGCCTCATCTTTACCCTGGCATTCTGTATTTCATACCTTCCTTTACTTTTAAAAAAATACATTTGTTAAAAGTCATACCTTGTAGAACTATTATTATAAGAATACTTTGGAATTGTAATCACTGGAATTGTATTGCTGCATTGGGCTGGTCCACCTGACTGAATGCAAGTATGTATCAATCAGTAGATAATTAAATGGCAAAGCAAGAGCCTCTGGCTATTAATTGACAATAATCTAGCCAGTGGAACTTACCATTACAAAACTCAACTCTACACGCCATTTTCAGCTAATCAACGCTGAAGACTGATTCCTGGAACTAAGCACCCACCCTACTGACTATTCCTGTAACCCATGACAATAAATCAACAAGTCAAGGATGGACTCCCAAAACTGCAGAACCCCAGGACTGTGACTGACAGCTGTCATACACTAAAGACCCATGTGGGACAGCAACCTCCAGAATGGACAACCAAGATGATGCTGGGAGATCTCACAAGTCTGCCAGAAAGGGATAAAAGGCAGTGAAGCATGACCCTCAGAGGCACCCCCTCACCCAGTACCTACCGAGACAGAAGGACAAGCAGGCAACCCCCTCCTGGAGGAAGCTGACCATCAACAGCAGACTCCAGCACCCCAGATAGGTATAAACCAACATCAGAGCTACACAACTACTGCAGCAGTGTGCGAGTGTGTGTCAAGGTGGCCAGTACCCCTCATAACTCAAAGTTTGCATTTATGATTTTATTGGCAACGTCACATCCCATCTAATAAATTAGAATTCACAATGATCCTGTAAGTTGGTCCTTTGTAGCAAACAATTAAATAACCTAAATATACTATATCATAGTTTTAACTTCTAGTAATTGATGTAGCCAAATTTATTAAATGCTGTTTTACTATAAATAGACATTTTTGTTAAGATTCATAAATAAATAAAAAAATATATAAAAATATAGCTTTATTTACATAAGACCATAAATTTGGGGGGG